GGATCTCTCTGTACTTTGCTCCGTTCATCTTTCCCTCGATCCAGACTAGTCTCCCAGTCCCTGCCGCTGAAAAACATCCCCACAGCATGATGCTGCCACCACCATGCCAGGTTTCCTCCAGACGTGACGCTTGGCATTCAAGCCAATGAGTTCAATCTTGGTTTCATCAGACCAGATAATCTTGTTTCTCATGGTCTGAGAGTCCTTTAGGTGCCTTTTGGCAAACTCCAAACGGCTGTCATGTGCCTTTTACTGAGGATTGGCGTCCGTCTGGCCACTCTACCATAAAGGCCTGATTGGTGGAGTGCTACATAGATGGTTGTCCTTCTGGAAGGTTCTCCCATCTCCACAGAGAAACTCTGCAGCTCTGTCAGAGTGACCATCGGGTTCTTGGTCACCTCTCTGACCAAGGCCCTTCTCCCCTGATTGCTCAGTTTGGCCGGGCGGCCAGCTCTAGGAAAAGTCTTGGTGGTTCCAAACTTCTTCCATTTAAGAATGATGGAGGCCACTGTTTTTTGGGGGACCTTCAATGCTGCATCCATTTTTTGGTACCCTTCCCCAGATCTGTGCCTCAACACAATCCTGTCTCGGCGCTCTACGGACAATTCCTTCCACCTCATGGCTTGGTTTTTGCTCTGACATGCACTGTCAACTGTGGGACCTTATATAGACAGGTGTGTGCCTTTCCAAATAATGTCCAATGAATTGAATTTACCACAGGTGGACTCCAATCAAGTTGTAGAAACATCTCAAGGATGATCAATGGAAACAGGATGCACCTGAGCTCAATTTCGAGTCTCATAGCAAAGGGTCTGAATACTTATGTAAATAAGATACTTTGTTTTTCAAAAAATTCTAAAAACCTGTTTTTGCTTTGTAAGTATGGGGTATTGTGTCGATTGATTAGTATTTTCTTATTTTTAAATCCATTTTAGAATAAGGCTGTAATGTAACAAAATGTGGAAAAAGTCAAGGCGTCTGCATACTTTCCCAATGCACTGAAGAGACATTAAACACTGGACCGTTTCTTTTATACTGTTTTTCACACAATGTATTCATCACAGAGCTCATTTTACTATATCTGCTACTGTACATTGCATTTTGTTACACTGTTTATTTATACACTTGATTCTCAACATAGCTCGCTGTAACATATATACTGCTGTACGTATCATTCTAAGTATAGATTTTTCCTGTATATACGCATAGATTGCTTGCATTTGGATGATATAGTGTTTTTCATTGGATTCGTGATTTCTTTTTTTTCTTTTTTTGTGTACTTGTTTGACATTTTTGCTGCACTGTTAGGAACTAGTAACACAAGCTATAACATTTTACATTTTAGTCATTTAGCAGATGCTCTTATCCAGAGCGACTTACAGTTAGTGAGTGCATAAATTTTTTTCTCATACTGGGCCACCGTGGGAATCGAACCCACAACCCTGGCGTTGCAAGCGCCATGCTCTACCAACTGAACTAAACTGTCTACCCGACCAATACATTTTGATATGATAAATCTGTCAGATGCTGGACAATTCAACATTAGGCACACTTTTCAAGTTAATGTAAATGTAAATGTAATGTGATTCCCTGAAAGTCATTCAATAAATGTTTTTATTGAACTAACCATATAGCAACACACAAATGTGTAATGTATTTCTGTTACAATGAGCAGTAATCTATTATTTATTGTGGGCTTGAATTACAAACTGTTCTATACTTTATTATCTAGCAAATAAAACAGATTCTGTCTGAGGACGCAAAACAATCCATTCAAAAGCCTATTAGGCCAATAAATTATCAGCACATATTCGCCGACAATCGGGGTATTCAGAAGATAAAATAAAAGTAGTAGGCCTAGTTCGCTTTGAAATACAGTATATGCTAAATTCTAAAACCATTCATCCGATGAGGAAGCAAAGCTAAAGTAGCCTGAAGGCAAATGCTAACAAATCTATTTCTCAACACGAAACTCAACAGATGACAAAATCACAACTTGGACCACCAGCAAAATACAATTACATACAAGTATTTTTAGACAAGAAGATCAGCGGAGAGCTCGAACGCAGTCCCCCACTACCAGAAGTTCTGCAATCGATATTTCCACATTATTTACAAGGATCAGCACAGCCGGGGTGCATTGGCTGAGTCGCACCCTGGGTGAACCGGCTTCTTAATCACGATGTCTCCCTTGCCAGGTATGTATGAGTCACACGCATCCGTGGAGCCGCACTTATTCCAGTGCAAACATTTTCGGCTGACAGTTTGCTTCCACTTTGGCTCCCGATAACGCATAATGTCGACCAGGATTTAATGATGCTTAGGACAGAGTGGTGAAAAAGCGATTAATTTAGTTTTACTACATTATATTACTCTCCGACTATATTCCCATCATGCAACAGGGTAGACATTATCTATACATTGACTTTTTAATATCTAAATGCCTGTCTGATGTCACAAAAGTTGGCGATGTGCCAAAATGCTGAAATCACGTTCAAGCACACACAGCCAAACGAACGACACCAACTATTTCTGGTGTTTCGTAGCATTCCAGGCATTATTGCATAGTATTTTCCTCGTGCTTGTGTTCTGCGCGCGCAGTAAAACATGTTGTAATTACACCATTGACCACAGGGTGGCAAACGACTCCCCGATATGGAGGAGACACACAGTAGACTACTACTTCATCCACAACTACACAGAGTAGGCTAGGCCAGGGGTTCCCAAAGTAGGGTCCGAGAAACTGCAGGTGGTCCGCAGCATTTTTTACAAATGCGTGCCGTCTTTAGCCAACTCTCTTGCTATCTCTCTCAGAATGACCTTCTTGATCCAAACCAGTCAGGTTTCAAGACTGGTCATTCAACTGAGACTGCTCTTCTCTGTGTCACGGAGGCTCTCCGCACTGCTAAAGCTAACTCTCTCTCCTCTGCTCTTGTCCTTCTAGACCTGTCTGCTGCCTTTGATACTGTGAACCATCAGATCCTCCTCTCCACCCTCTCCGAGTTGGGCATCTCCGGCGTGGCTCACTCTTGGATTGCGTCCTACCTGACCGGTCGCTCCTACCAAGTGGCGTGGCGAGAATCTGTCTTCGCACCACGTGCTCTCATCACTGGTGTCCCCCAGGACTCAGTTCTAGGCCCTCTCCTATTCTCGCTATACACCAAGTCACTTGGCTCTGTCATATCCTCACATGGCCTCTCCTATCATTGCTACGCAGACGGCACACAACTAATCTTCTCCTTTCCCCCTTCTGATAACCAGGTGGCGAATCGCATCTCTGCATGTCTGGCAGACATATCAGTGTGGATGACGGATCACCACCTCAAGCTGAACCTCGGCAAGACGGAGCTGCTCTTCCTCCCGGGGAAGGACTGCCCGTTCCATGATCTCGCCATCACGGTTGACAACTCTGTTGTGTCCTCCTCCCAGAGTTCGAAGAGCCTTGGCGTGACCCTGGACAACACCCTGTCGTTCTCCGCTAACATCAAGGCGGTGACCTGATCCTGTAGGTTCATGCTCTACAACATTCGGAGAGTACGACCCTGCCTTACACAGGAAGCGGCACAGGTCCTAATCCAGGCACTTGTCATCTCCCGTCTGGATTACTGCAACTCGCTGTTGGCTGGGCTCCCTGCCTGTGCCATTAAACCCCTACAACTCATCCAGAATGCCGCAGCCCGTCTGGTGTTCAACCTTCCCAAGTTCTCTCATGTCACCCCACTCCTCCGCACACTCCACTGGCTTCCAGTTGAAGCTTGCATCTGCTACAAGACCATGGTGCTTGCCTACGGAGCTGTGAGGGGAACGGCACCTCCGTACCTTCAGGCTCTGATCAGTCCCTACACCCAAACAAGGGCATTGCGTTCATCCACCTCTGGCCTGTTGGCCCCCCTACCTCTGCGGAAGCACAGTTCCCGCTCAGCCCAGTCAAAACTGTTCGCTGCTCTGGCACCCCAATGGTGGAACAAGCTCCCTCACGACACCAGGACAGCGGAGTCACTCACCACCTTCCGGAGACACTTGAAACCCCACCTCTTTAAGGAATACCTGGGATAGGATAAAGTAATCCTTCTACCCCCCCTTACCCCACCCCAAAGAAAGAAAAAAAAAAAAAAACATATTGTAAAGTAGTTATCCCACTGGCTATAAGGTGAAGGCACCAATTTGTAAGTCCCTCTGGATAAGAGCGTCTGCTAAATGACGTAAATGTAAATGTAAATGTAAACTTAATTTTTATGAATATTGCTAGCAACAACAGATTAAACGAATTTTGGACAAGGGATCCATGGAAAATATTTAGAGGGTGCAATGAAAAATGTATGCACTCACTAACTGTAAGTCGCTCTGGATAAGAGCATCTGCTAAATGACTAAAATGTAAATGTAAATGTAATTATTCATCCACAATTTGTGTTCTTAACCCTTTAGATGCCCAACATGGGCCTGGGGGGCTCACAGGGATATTGGTATCCACAGTACTCTATCAATTATCTATTTTTTTCAACTAAATTCTTCTTTTATTCCCCGAAAAATGTGTTTTTAATTTTAAAGCACGGTAATTTAAGCCTGAAAATGCTAAGTGTTCTCTCTGCCCCAAGGCAAAATGTTTAGAATTGCATTAAATTAGCTTTAAAATGTTCTCTCTGACACCAATAGGGGGGCCTTTAAAATGTTATTTCCAAGGGCCTGACACTTGATTAGTCCAGCCATGCACTGCATAAGTCATAGTAAAACTACTTGTATGCAATTATTTTATTAAACGTTGAACACCGTTCTATCGTACTGAACGCACCCCTGACTGCTAATACTGCCCTTGGAAACGCACAGCGGAGGGTGTAATCGAGCTGTGTTAGTTTCTCTGAGTATTTGCTCCTAAACACAGATCAGATCTAGAAACAGATAACCCTTGTTAAAACGAATATTACTTAATATTACGGAGAAAGAATATCTGACCCTGTATCAGTGGTTAGGGGGGCAATTTGGCGGCTGCGCTGTGAATGTCCTCCAGCGGAGAGTGGCGGTAGCACAACGTTTTCAGAAACCTCCTTTTCAGTTTACTGTGGTATGGCATTGGGCAGAATGGAGACCAAACCAGTAATAACCTTTCTCAAAACCCTCCTCATCGTTTACTCCTTCGTATTTTGGGTAAGTTAACGTTACCCTCGGTTTATTCATGCCCCATTATAAGCCTTGGGGAGATAGTTGTCGTCGTAGATGCAGACATATGAGGCGTACTCGTATAGAAAATAAGTGCATGCCAACGTGCCCTCTATGACGAAAGGGGTAGCCTACCGTGATTTTTCTATATGGATGGTGAATTTAGTTAATTCGAGGGTTGGCTTTTGTCTTTATAGGACTTCTTGCTACCGTACATTTAATGTTATAAATGTGGTTCAGCTGTGCCTTTATGATGATGACTTCTTATCGGGGCAATGTTTACAACCACACGCTTGGAGAAATGCGACATCCTCAGTTTATTGCGCACGTTGTCACCGACTCCAGCTCTGTATTTGCTCTGTATTTCGAAGTTGCCAGTATGACCGCAATACATATGCATGGCATATGCGTAGAATATAGAGCGCAGCAGCATCTCTGTAGTGACAGAGACAGGCAGAGGTTATCAGTCGAGGCTGTTGATGCAGGCAAATCAGCAGCCACTCTTGTAACGGTTTCTGTCTGGTCCATCATTTGGTGCGTAGCAGCATGGAAGTCCTCCCGTCAATGCAAAGGCTACAGTATGCATAGTCATTGGTTATTATACCGGCATACAATGTTTTGTCATTGATTTAGACTAACCATACTGTATATGTGGCACTATATAGCCCCGACATGGATGTGCACCTGACTTTGTGTTTTGTAAACATAGCCTACAGCACATTTGAAATGATTTGTCTGCATCCTGTTAAGTTGTTTGTTTTGACCATAGAGGTCCTACTAAATTAATAGAGGGGCTATGTCATAAACCCTCAAAGATTCAGAATGGTATGATAATGGCAGCCATTTTGGTCAGGGATAAATCCAAACCAGTCTAATCGGAATGAATGGCAGTATAGGCATAGGTCAGGGGTATTCAACTCTTACCCTACGAGGTCCGGAGGCTGGTTGTTTTCTGTTCTACCTGATAATTAATTGCACCCACCTAGTGTCCCAGGTCTAAATCATTCCCTGATTATCCCTGATTAGAGGGGAACAATTAAAAAATGCAGTGGAACTGGCATCGAGGTCCAGAGTTGAGGTAATGCTTTTACTTATGCAGGAAAATAAAAGTAATGCATGTGATATATCAGAAATTGTGTAATAGAAATACTGTCACTGCAAAATATTGTCATATAATAATAAATACAGTTTATACTGGTTTTATAAAAAAGAAAATCTGTATAAATAGCCTTTAAATTATATGTAAACTAAACAGACCATAAATGTCTAAATTGTTTTGTTTTCTTGCAAAGCTGGGAGTGTTATTATATGATACAATATCAGTACCTGTTGCATTTACAACTTGTCTAAGTCCTATCATCAATGGATTTCAGTCAGTGTATGGCTGTGGATTGACTGCATTGTTTTTATGGCATGTTGGCGTATTGGCAGTTAATATGAAAAATGAGTGGAATCATTCCACTAAACTGGCTGGCTAGCTAGCTAACAAACATACAGTGCAGTTTTATTATTCAAATTCATTATCATTATCATTCTTATCACAGCACTGGCAAACCATGGTTGACCAACTCCCTGACCAAAATGTCTGACCTTTATCACATTATAAGAAGGTTAATCTCCATTCTAGTATTCTAATTTCAAAATTCTATGGTCTTGACTGACTCACTCTTATAATTTTGTCATATGTCTCCTGAGACTATCATTGTCATACCATAGCATGTATTTATTGAGCCAACTCATCTGTCTATTAGGCTACATGAGAAACAGTAGCCTACAGATGGGCATGAAGTTGGAGGGGTAACTGGGTAACACATAAGCAATCCCTCTACAGTCAAACTAAAAGTAAACAAACTCACAGTGTGTATTTGCAGCTCTTATCCTGAGAGATATCTTTGTTAGACAAGGATGGAGGGATGCTCCTTCTACAACTTCAGGGGAGAAAGTTGGGATGGGCTGAGGTCAGAGGGGTGGGTGTTGGTGTTGGTTTGGAATTCTTCAGATAGTTTGGTTCCTGATCAGACCCTACACCCAAACGAGGGCACTACGTTCATCCACCTCTGGCCTGCTAGCCCCCCTACCTCTACGGAAGCACAGTTCCCACTCAGCCCAGTCAAAGCTATTCGCTGCTCTGGCACCCCAATGGTGGAACAAGCTCCGCCAGGACAGCGGAGTCACTGACCACCTTCCGGAGACACTTGAAACCCTACCTCTTGAAGGAATACCTGGAATAGTATAAAAGTAATCCTTCTACCCTCCCCCCATAAAAAAAATTAATAAAAAAAAAAAAAAAAAAGTGGTTGTCCCACTGGCTATCATAAGTTGAATGCACCAATTTGTAAGTCGCTCTGGATAAGAGCGTATGCTAAATGACGGAAATTTAAAAATGTTCCTGAGTTTCACTGTCGTCAGCTTGTCATGATAGCTAATGTCTTCCGGCGAGTGCTTCAGACTCTAGTTCACACAGTGCGGTCTCCAGTAGTGCAGGTGGCAGACTTGAGGTATGTCAGACACTGGCATGTATTAATGTTCCTGTTAAAAATAGACCCCACAGAGGAGACTGGTGGGAGGAGCTATATGAGGACGGGCTCATTGTAATGGCTGGAATGGAATAAATGGAACGTAGTCAAACCCAGTGGGCCATGTTTTCCCTTTTGGTGACTGGGGGGAAAGGGGTCGTCCGGGTTGTCATGGCTGCTGGTTTCTGAGTAATCTCTCAGATTGCATTGGAATTTATTAGTTAGATGTTGCCAATGTTTTCTTCATGGCCCTAATGGTTCAGATTGTTAGTGTAATTTGATCCTAGATCTAGGACTAAGGGCAACCTCTACATTGGTCGATTGCATCACAACAACAACATCATCACTTCCTCCAACCCTCCTCCAGCCCTAGCCTGGGTTCTGTTTTCAACATATGACATCAGCTATATTGCATGCAGACAAACACACTGTCTAGTCTATCTTCTGGCCTGACTATCAATGCAATAGATGGAAGGATGTTTATAATACAAAGACAAGATAGATAGATTGATAGACATTGATCAATCAGTAGAGGGACAAGTATATTGATGCAACGACAAAGAAAACATAACATAATGGCAACAATTAAAAACACCATTTAAAAGTACTTCTGCAAACACACTCCTTAACATGCAGAACTCACCTCTCAGGGCCATTGGACAAGGGCATACATACGACCCCCTGTTGTCACGTCACAGCAGAACAGCTGACATGAACATGTGACTATTAGTGTGGGCAATCGGTTTGTGCAGTTGTCTTGGTAGGCTATACGTAGTGTGTGTGTGCGTGCGTGTGCCCCCACTTATAACTCATGATTAAGATATTATAATTTATCACAAAGTTCCAAAAACTTCTGAAAAAAACTAAAATGTTCTTGAATGCCTTGCGAAAAATGGTATTTACATGATAGTTAGCCTACCTGTTTTTTGTTTATAGAAACAAGCAAGCGATTCTTGTTAAATAAGATATAAGGTGAATATACGCCAGGGTTGTGGGTTCGATTCCCACAGGGGACCAGTATGAAAAAATGGCATTGGGCACTAACTGTAAGTCACTCTGGATAAGAGTGTCTGCTAAATTACTAAGATGTAAATGTAAATATCAGCGATAATAGAACAGTCGAATAAACCATTATCAAGGCAGTGTTCTTATAATGATGCCAGATAGTTCAGTCTATCCTGAATGGTCATTAAGTAAAAGCCCACACACAGGCCACGAGGTGAAGCCTAATTGATTGTCTGCTAAGTTCTCTACGCACATTGAAACCGCAAGATGTCCAACAGTGATGAATGTAGGAGCATTGCCATTATACTGTGTACATTATGTAATACCAGCTATACAGTACAGAGAGGGATCTGAGCTTGAATCATTAATGCAGTGTTTGTGTTTCCACTCATTACTAAACCGAGCCCTCTGGACTGTGTTGGCGTCATTACTTACGAATGGTTGAGAAATAAACATATTCAGAGATAATATAGAGAAATGTTATTGATTTAGGTCTGTGGTGGTGCTTTGTTAAAAAGTAAAGTTGTATAATTTCGTGGTTTGTAGTGCCTCAGTCTTTTAATTTGTGAAGAACAGTCCAGGTTTCGAGGGCAGGTAGTGCATTTAGACTTATGGAGAGGGAGGGGGTTTGCCACCTGCTGTTCATACAAGGTTAGAATGACAAAGAGAGGAGGAGAGGGAGCTTTTCTGTATGTTTTGGCTGAGTTCTGCTTGGATACTGCAGCACCTCAGAGATAGATGTCTGTTACCATGGAGACAGTCTAACTCTGGCCCTGCCAGCCGAACGGTCCCTGTCCTTGACTCCTCTCCTAGTGTTCTTCCATCCCAAACGGGTGCACATGTTTGTCCCAGCCCAGCACTAACAAACCTGATGCAACTAATCAAGGCCTTGATGACTAGGCCTATGACGTGCAGACGTTTGTCCAGCACTGCACCTTATTCAGGTAATGATAATACATTTAGACCACAATTGGCCCTGTACACCTGCCAGTAAAACTATATGTCACATTGTTTATGTGCCTGTGTGGTTCTGCTTATGTGGATGTGTGTGTGCAGGCCTGCTATGTGGCAATATGGCAGCCGGCAGGAGAGAGGGACCTCATGGAGGGGGGGTAGGGGGCTGATGATGAGTTGGCAACAGGCTTCGCTAGTGGGGTGTCTTTAACAGATCGGCACCCCTTCTGTACCCCGTCCCAAAAAGCAGTGGCCCCCCAGCTGGGACACAGGGGCGTTTAGCTGGCTCACACAACACACTCCTTTATGAGTGGCCTTCATTAGAAATGCTTAGAGCAGCGCAACAGGAGGAAGCGGCTCGCTCTGGATCAAAGGGTCCTTTTGATTCGCTCCCTCTTTTTTTGTGTTTGTGTGTGTGTATGTGTGTTCCACAGAAAAACTATCAACATATCCCTTCGCCTTTAAACTCTCCCCCATTCATTCCTTCCCTCTCTATGTCTCTCTCTCCCTCTCTTTCTCTGCACTCCCCTCTCTGTTATGACACCTAGAAACAACTGCTGTTTGCTCCTTGGTCAGAGAGGACAAGCTGAAAGGTTGATCTAGTTATCACATATGTAAGGGATAATCAATGAGGGGCTATGCGTTCTATGGAAAATAATGAACGACGTGGAAGGTGTGTTCTACGACGCGTTAGCGGAGTGGAACTGACCTTCCACTGAGTTGCATTCTTTTCCAGAGAACGCATAGTGCTCCGACTTGATTATCCCTTTTATACCATGGCTATAATTTAACACATTTGCCAGTAGAAATGTGTTCATTTGCCGGTAGAAATGTGTTCAACATCCACTGAAGTAGCTAGCAAGTTTACTAGATAGCTACAGTAGTTGCCATGGTAACCAAACAAAAATACTTGCTAGTTTAACTAACCAAACCATCAGTCCTAGCTTGCTATTATGAAAATCGAATTCAACAATGCCAATACTGTTTTCAATTTGACATTTGCTTTCAAAAGCAGCGCAAACAAAACATGTACAAATTAACTATAGCCATTGAATTCTACCATGTAAGAATGCACTTCAAGTCAATCAGAAAGGAGTATTCAACAATGCATGGTATAATTAAGCAATAAGGCCCGAGGGGGTGTGGTATATGGCCAATATACCATGGCTAAGAGCTGTTCTTATGCACAACGCAACCCTTAGCTGTCGTATATTCGCCATATACCACAAACCCCTGAAGTGCCTTATTGCTATTATAAAATGTATAAACCAACGTAATTAGAGCTGTAAAAATAAATGTTTTGTCATACCCGTGGTATACTGTCTGATATACAACGGCTGTAAGCCAATCAGCATTCAGGGCTCAGACCAGCCAGTTTATAACTACATTTAAACCTGCTATCAATTACACTCAAAACTGACCTGAGATCTGTGTCCAGGGCCAACTTCATTGTCCCATACTGTAGAGAGGCAGATGGTGGGTGGCTATGCATTGTTGAGCCACGTGGGGGTGTTCTCTAGTCTTTGGTCTCAGCACGATCAGTAGCACCAACAGAAGCAACACTGCACTCTGCTGTCTGAATAGTGTACCTCTGGATAACAACATCTGTCTGGCATCTTCTCTCCACTCTCCTCTGTCTCCTCCATCTGCCCTCTCACCCATATATTTCCCCTCTACTACCTACCCTCTCTCTGTCCTCTCCCCTGTCACTCATCTCCTTTCCCACTCTCTTTCTCTCTTTCCTTGTCTTCTTCAGATCACAGGAGCGATCCTCTTGGCAGTGGGAGTATGGGGGAAGTTTATGCTGGGCCCATATATCTCTCTGATAGCTGAGAACACCACCAATGCTCCATATGTCCTCATCGGCACTGGGACTGTCATCATCGTCTTCGGCCTGTTCGGATGCTTCGCCACCTGCAGGGGAAGCCCATGGATGCTCAAACTAGTGAGTGAGAGGGAGAGGAGCGTGCAGACAGACACACACACTGGAGCTGTGAATCTGCAGCTGGGGTTGTGAAGCATTGTTTTGATGCTGATTAACCCCGAGCAGTTAGAGAAGCACAGTGATAATGATCTACATAACACATACAGTACTTCACTCACTAGCCTGCCCCCACCACACCCAACCTCTGTGTGTGTAGCTTATTTTTTAAATATTTGTTTTCCCACTTCTTTCTCCCCCCCTCTCTCTACCCATCTCTCTCTTTCTCGTTCTCTCTCTACAGTATGCAATGTTCTTGTCCCTGGTGTTCCTAGCTGAGTTGGTGGCTGGGATCTCTGGCTTTGTTTTTCGTCATGAGGTCAGTTTCTCTATTTGGAATACATTACCCACAATTCATCTGGCCCCATCTCAGCCGCTTACCTGCCAATAGAAATACGTCACATCACTTGTGTGTGTGTGTGTGTGTATGTGCGTGTTTGTGCGAGTGTGTTTGCGTGTGTGTGTATCCACAGATAAAGGGCACCTTCCTGAGGACGTATACTGACGCGGTGTTGAACTATGATGCTGAGGATGAGAAGAGCCTGGTTGTGGACAACGTCCAAAGCAGCGTGAGTCACAACAACAACAAAACGACTATTATAACAACAATACACAATTCAATCACATTTCTGTCTGTGTGTTTCTCTCCAGCTGCATTGCTGTGGGGTGTACAACTACACCAGCTGGTTGGGCAGTGTGTACTACCCTGCCAACGGCTTTCCCCTGAGCTGCTGCTCCAACTCCTCTGACTGCAGCCCACAGGACCTCCGCAACACCACTATAAACCACACCAAGATCAACCAGCAGGTGTGTGTGTGTGTGTGTGTGTGTGTGTGTGCATGTGTGTGTGTATGCGTGTCTGTAACCCATCCACTGTGTTACACACTAACCCGTCCCCTGTGTTTCAGGGCTGTTACGAACTGGTCACCTCCTTCCTCGAGACCAACATGGCCATCATTGCAGGAGTGACATTTGGCATAGCCTTCTCACAGGTGACATAGAGAGAATGTACTTGTGTGTTGATATGAGTGCTGTTTTTAAGGTCTACTATAATCTAAAGCTGTGTTTCCCAACTCCAATCCTCCAGTACACCCAACAGTACACATTTTTATTGTAGCCCCGGACAATACAAATATGTACTGCTGGGGGTACTCAAGGACTGGAGTTGGAAAACACTGATCTAAAGTAATCTCTCTCTCTCCTTCTCAGTTGATTGGCATGTTGCTGGCATGCTGTCTGTCCAGGATCATTACAGCTAATCAGTATGAGATGGTGTAGCTGGAAGAGCAGGTTAGTGACTATTCTCTCACTCAAACACACACGCACACACACACACACGCACACACTATACACACACACTATAAACACATCTAAGAGCCTGTGTGGTTGTTTGTTTTCAGGGAGATGAAGATGAGAGGGCGAACAGCATCTTGGTAGACTGGGACAGAAGATCCCCACAACACTAGCACACTGCATCACTAAATCTCTCTCTCTCTCTCTCTCTCTCTCTCTCTCTCTCTCTCTCTCTCTCTCTCTCTCTCTCTCTCTCTCTCTCTCTCTCTCTCTCTCTCTCTCTCTCTCTCTCTCGCTCTCTCTCGTTATTGTAACTTATTGTAAAGAAGCACCATTCCTTAATGCTACTGTGCCATGAAAGCTTTCTCTCAGTACTTTAAACTCCTCTAATGAATGACTCTGCTGGTAAAAGTTGCAAGTAAGCACTGATCTAGGATCAGCTTACCCTCCCCATCACAAGATTGACCTTGGACCAGCATCTAGGGGCAACATCCTCCTACTCCATATGAGCTTAGCAGTCTCTGACACTGTGGAGAAGTTGCCCTGAGGCACAGATCTAGGATCAGCTCACCCCACCCTTGATGCTAACTTTAACCATTAGGGTAATGAATGAATATCTGATCCTGCATTAGTGCTAAGGGACAACTTCATCCTGCTCCTTAGCGGTCTTTGACCCCCGTGTCTCCCTGTCCTTTCACAGCCCCCCCTTGTGGTCTGGCATGCTCCATATAGGCCCTAGCATCTCTAAAGCAATGCACATATTTGTATAGACATTACATTATTAACCCACATAAAAATATATACAATAGCCGACATACACTGTATTTTTATGATGTTCCTGATCACCACCGTAAATACCTAAACTTCAGACATTTAGAGAAGATATGTTGATATAACGTTGAGAGAGCATGTAGTGCTAACTTTAGCCTTTCATTTGCATCTTTGCTTTTTCGCTGCTACATGGATGATATCTCAGACTATTGTGTCCATATCTATGACATTAGACAACAATGAACTGTGCAATTAATTTGGTCTGTGGATGTGTAGATGTGGCTTACTCTCTGAAGACAGAGGAGGCTGGTGGGAGGGGCTAAAGGAGGATGGGCTCATTGTAATGGCTGGAATGGAGTCAAACGTGGTTTTCATATGTTTGATACAGTTCCATTTATTCCATTCCTATAGCTCCTCCCACCAGCCTCCTCTGTCTGACGAGCTCCTAGATAATTTATAATGTATTATAATAACACATCATGATGTGTGTGTGTCGACTTTGGTTCGGAACACTGTGCTGTTTGGATTGATTTGTATGTTGTAATATTTGTGAGTGTTGAGTTTTGTCTGATTCTGATAAATAGTATTATTTATTGATTTTATTGATGTTATGTGTTTTTGTGCCACATGTTGAGAAGTATAGGCCGATGTTTACTTTTTGCTTTATTTATATATTGTTGACATTTCATTTTTTGTATGTCTGCCTTTCTGTGTGCACACTTACGATTGTGCATGTTTGTGTGTGAGTGAGTGAGAAAGAGTTGAGGTGGTTACAAGTAGGCAGAGTTGTCTATGACAGTGGCTGACATCCCGACATCAGTGTACAACAGGGAATAGGGTGTAATTTGAGATGCAGTCAATGCTCATATAGATGTAAGGCTCAGGTCAACGATATGATGCAACGCTCAGACTGGTGCCTCTTATGGTGTTGTGTATGTATGTCCATGTCTCAAAGTCATGACGGAGGCAGCTGTGACATCTGTGCTATAGACGGGTTAGCTGACAACGTCATGAAAACAATGTGTGTGCTTCAAAGGGGCAGAAGGCTGTGTGTTGTTATGGTTCTGGATGGCCAGATAGCTAGCAACAATGACAAGAAACTGCCATGTCGTGAATCGTAAGTGGCTCGTTTGATCTTGTTCTTGATACCATGTCTTGTTTTGAGGTGTTTTGACTGATGTCACGTCTATGCTAATATGGCAAAAATTTGCTAGCTAGCTAGCTAACCAACAACTGTAACGATGTATTTGAGAGACAAGTGCTCATTGTGCAACTTTATTTATGTTTTCAATAAACATTGGAGACGAAATATAGATGACCTGTTATCAACAATCTAAGCCAACCCTGTATGTTTTGCCCCATTAGTTGCGCATGTGTCGGTTTTGTTGCTAAACAACCAACCCGTCTATACAAGGGATCTCAGCCCTGGTTCTGGGGCTCTCCTGTGTATGCTGTTTTCACTAATGACTCAGATTGACAAAACTGGGTTATTAAAATCTCAACTATTTTGCATGAAATCCTTTTATTACTGGTATGTACATAGAAATGACATGGTAAAATGGTAATTACACAATAATAACCTATGGATCACTTATTTGTTTCATTGATACTAAATTGGAGCACCATTCCATATACCAGGTAAACAACCGGTAGCTGAACCTTTAAATAAAATGCTACCAAGATCTCCCAGTGTATAGAAATTAATTTCCTTCCCTAAAATGTATGGATTATGAAATGTGAAACTACTGATATGCTGATGTGGATGGGAATCCAGTGAACACAGTGGGTCCCCAGTTTCCCCAACTCCAGCAGAGTAGAAAGCCAGTTTACTGTTATTAAGTAGATCACTAAATCTAACTAAACTAACACAGGCAAACATGTAAGAGAGACCAGTCAAATATTGCAATCCAAAGTTGCAGCATTAACGAAAAGCTAAAACATTGTTTTGTAGCCAACCTTTTAAATAACTCCGCACCAGCTACTATAGTATGCCAACAGAGGCATCATGCTCATAGGGGGCACGTGCCCCGTGCCCCCTCAGATTTGTCCTGTTTAAAAAATATATCTAACATTTTTGGTAAAATGTTTGTTTGTTGTTGGCTTTAGCTAGCCCAGATAGATTCCCAATCTCCCAACCTCATAACTAGCTACCAAGAAGCCATTTCAGGCTATCAAGTTAGAGTAGCTAGCTTGTCTAACTATCTTAGCTGGCATGCCTGCTGAAAAGGCTGGTAGATTTGAGAAAAGCAAGCAATTACTAAATGTAATGAATAAGACTCACTTTCCTTTCAATCTTTTACTCAGATTTTAGCAGAGATGCAGAGAAGCCTATTTAGTAAAACATATTTTAAAAAGACACCAGTCAGGATTATACAGACAACTCAAGAGGTATGCTTAGATATGCAGAAAAACACAAATATTTTTTTGACATAATGATTATGGCTATAGATTGCAGGAAAAAGCTGTTTCAGTTGTTTGAAAAATTCAAAATCCTCCATCTTTCCATCCCTCTGGACTACCCCCTAGCCATCCTCAATTAATTTGTGCCCCCTCAAACCTTTAGGGTGCATGACACCCCTGCATGCCAATACAGTGTGTTCTGTTGTTGATATTGTAACCATCAGTGATCACTGTATTAATAAACGATCATCATAACTTTACTGCTGAATCACTGTGTCTCGTTCTTTTTGTGTTTGGAGTGATGGGAGGCGTATTCTCTACACTCTCTTTCTCTCTCTTACTCCTTCTGTCCTTCTCTTATTCTATCCTTCCCCTCTCAATTTTCACCTCCATTCTCCCCCCTGTAGCTCTCCCTCTTTTTCCCCTCTCTTCTTGCCTGTCTCTAACCTTCTCCCTACCTCTCTATTTCTCTGTGTTAAAGAACTCTGCCATGAATACTATTAGTATGAAGCAAAAGCAGGAGACATGAATACTAAACTAGACAGGACGTCATTGCTCACTAGAACATCATTGCTCAATGCCACAACAAACACACGGATGCATTTCACCCCCTTCCTTATGCCCTGGTTTTCTCACAGATCTGAAACCCTGGGTGGAGTTATTGCTACACAAACAAACCAAGTCCTTTCTGGACTGCTAAGCCTATACAAGGGATGGCCAAAACTCCTCTTGAGTAAACCTATACAAGGGATGGCCAAAACTCCTCTTGAGAGCTACTCGGGGATGTGAAAAAGTCTTGAACGTTCCAGATAAAAATGGAATGAATAGAGCTGACATGATTCTCTATTCTACATGTCTTACTTTTTATTTTCACAAAGTGGCTAGGAAGACCAAAGAGAGGCTACTGCCAAATAAAGTGAACAAGAATGCATTCTCATAAGGATGTTTAATTTCACTTCAATCCAATAAACGTATTTGTCCCCGAGAAGGCTTATATATTTTTATTTAATTTTAAATGTGTTGTGTTTTTCATTGTTTTTCAAACTACAATATGAGCATACATCACATGAACTACATTACTTGACTCTTTAGACTGACCATTCAAAAATATTCAGTCCCTTGCTTTGTGTGTGTGCAGGGCCGGCTCTAGCCTTTTGGTTGGTGGAGAGAACAGTTTAAGTTTTAAAGTTTTCCTGCAATTCTACACATGTTGCCATGGGGCGTAGAGAAAATGTTTGCAGTTTTAAAGCAAGTTTTCTGCAATTCTACACATTTTGCCATGGGACAGAGAGAATACTTTGCAATTTCACAGCAAATTCTCCAGTGTTGAATCAACCCTGACAGTGTTAAATTTAACAATGGTCCAGTGTCTATACATGGGCCACACTTTTCATTGTTAAATTAACACACTGTTTAGTGTAAAGCCTTATTTGCATATTTCCCAGAGTGCCTTGCCTTTCGAGTGAATTGTAGAGTTACCACCCATGACTGTATTTGTTAGAGACAGGTTCCATGCTCTGTCAATGTTGGCCAAATGCAAGTATTCCATTTTGCACAAACTCAATGCACACTGTTCTCCACAGGTCAATTGCACACCTGTCTATGCAGTACTACTCTGGGATTCAACACTTCAAATTTTTAATTAAAGACCGTTGAGCACTTGTATTTAAGACAAAGTTATCAGATGACCCAAGACTTGCATGAATGGTTGGGTCTCCCGAGTGGCGCAGTGGTCTAAGGCACTGTGCACCGCAGTGCTAGCTGTGCCACTAGAGATCCTGGTTCGAATCCAGGCTCTGTCGTAGCCGGCCGCGACCGGGAGACCCATGGGGCGGCGCACAATTGGTCCAGGGTAGGGGAGGGAATGGCCAGCAGGGATGTTGGTAGAGCACGGCGTTTGCAACGACAGGGTTGTGGGTTCGTCTCCCACGGGGGGCCAGTATGAAAAAAATATATAATGTATGCACTCACTAACTGTAAGTCGCTCTGGATAAGAGTGTCTGCTAAATGACTAAAATGTTAGTGACAGTGACTTTACCA